TCTCATTTGTCCATCCCACAGATATTTAATTTACACCTATTATGAATCAGTGATTCTGAGGGTCGTAGGAATGAGGAAACTGAAGCACAGAGCAGCTAAGGCACTTCTCACAGTGGTGCCCATGGAGCTGGCATTGTCTGATTCTAAGATCAGGGCTCTCACCTTTCACCTTGGCTGCCTATTTGCTAAGTTTCCTTAAAGGTAAAAATGGGATCTAGGTTGGGAGGGCTGTTGGAATAGGGGTCCAGGAGCCCCTTTTGCCAAGGGGACCACACGGCTTGGGGGAGAGACAAACCCTTCAGAAGCCTCTGTGAGCAGGGTCCCTGGTGGCCGTCATGAAAGGGTTATCCCCACACATTCGATATTTGCAAAAATGTGGGTTCTTTCAGATTCCAAAACTCATTTCCATGACAAAACTCTTGGGAAGAGAAGATGAAGGTCTGGCTTTTGCAGAACAATCTTCCAGCTGTAATGAGGACTGAAGATGACGATGGGAAAAGGAATTATAATTAGAATATGAAATGGGGAAAATTAATCTATTCCAGTCAGTGGTAAGAGGATGTTCTCCTGGCATTTCACAGAAATTCTTAGGCCCTTGTTTCCCCTGCATTTTACCCGCCCCCCCCACCCTGATTTTAAAGCATACAGAAGGTTGTGTGGTGTGAAAAAATATTTTTGGCTGAGGGACTGATAAATTGTGAGATATGCATGGAATTTAAGCTCCTGTGTAGGTCTGGACGTGCTCCTGCCATGCATGTTTTTGGGCTCATTTAGGTGAGTTCTGTTTATGGAGCTGCAGAGGAGTGGTCATCCCTTCCTTTCCCTGTGCGTATGCTGTGGGCATTGTGAACCAGTCCCATAAAGGGTCTGTGACATGTGCACACTCAGGCTTGTGCTGTGGACGCCTTTGTATTGGCTTGTGTTACCCATAGGTGTGGTGTGTGTGTGACTAAGTGCTGTCATGGTCCCCCACTGGTTTGTGGTGTGTATGTAGTCACCATGCTTGGGCACATTGCATTTGTCATATACATTTGTGTCCACATACACACTCAGCATTCGCTGTGTGGTGGGTACAGATGTGGGCATTTGTGATCTTCGTTGTGCACATGGAGGAGGAGGAGGGGGCCCTGCTTTGATTTGTGACTTCTCCCCTTGGCTGACAAGTTCTTTCCCCCAGAAAGCAACCTCCCCAAAAGGGCTGAGGAGGTAAGCTCCAGGCCTAAGGACCCTGGGGGCCAAGCCAGGGGAAGCCTGAGACCCTTAGGGTCACCCTCTCTCCCTCCTTCCCCCTGCAAGGGCTCTGTTATGGTGAACAGAGAACAGACCCCTCCTCCCCACCACCACCACCTCGGGTTCATGGCTGCTCAGTAGCCAGGTCCCAAACCCAGTGTGCTTTCAGGACACCGTGCAAGACACCTGGGAGTAACCAATCAGAGGTTGACTCAGGCCTGGCCTTGGGAACCTCTGCCAACTTCTCAGGTCCTCCTCGAAAGCAAGAAGCAAGCTTTACTCCATTACATGGCAGCTTTTCTTGGTTGAATACATGAGTGAATGAATGAGCCCACTAGAGGCAGGCTCTGGTGACCTCATGTGGTCACACTGGCAGACCCCCTCGTGTCCTCCAGCATACCCACATCAAAATTCGGGGTTTTCTTTTCTCATATCCCCAGAGCCACCCCCCCACTGCCCACCGCAGATAAGGCCTCCCTCCCTGGACCGCGAACACATACTTACCAAACACCTATTATGTGCTGGCCCCAGGCTGATGGTTGGTTCTATAGTGGGGTGCACCAAAGCCTTGATCCCCACTCTTAAGGGGCTTCTGGCCTAATGGGAGAGACCAAACCAAAGAAGCAGGCAGCCCACTCTGAAGCCCGGCCTGCCTGTAGGCGTGCAATTTTGGGCAGCTGCTAATCCTTTCAATCTGTTTTTTTTGGTTTTAAACAGGGAAAATAATAGCTGCTTTGCTGGGTTGCTTTGAGGCTGAAATGAGATCTTTTATGGCAAGCATTCTGCTCAGTGCCAGGTATATTCATTCATTCCCCAGATATTTGCTGAGTGCCTGCTGTGTGCATCGGAGAGAGCAGACAGGGGTCCTTGCTTTTGCAGTGGTTCTGTTCTAGCCAGCAGTTGATCGACGGGCTGTAACAAGGGGTTTGGGGGACATCTTTCCATCTGCTTCTTTGATACGTGTTCCTATATTTTTAACCTATACCATACTGTTTGATTACTATTGCCTTATAAAATGTTTCAGAGACCTGGCTAAACTAAGTCCCCCTCCATTCCTAGTCATTCTTTCTTATAAAACATATAAATTACGTGTGGCTTTTTAAAAAGGTTTTACTTGTATCCAAGGAATAAATGGCCACGGTGACACATCAAATAATACCCAGGAGTTTTTGTTGAAAGCTCCCCACCCTGTCCCATTCCTAGTCTCCTTTCCGATGCCAGACTGTTCCAGGTGCTGGGGGGGTTGGAAATGACCAGGACACGGTTCAAGCCTCCATGTTGCTCCCACTCTGGGGCAGAAGACAGATGTGAAGATAATCCGTGTTGTAAGAGGGGCAGCCAGAGGTGAGAGCATGGCAGCCTCTTGGAGGAGGTGGTTTCTGAGCAGGGCCTTGAAGCATGATGAGCTCCAGGCACAGTGTGGTGGATGGACCCCCGCTTTGGGGGCCAGTGCCCAGACTCTAGGCATGGTGCCACCTTTTCTTTTGTTAATACAGCAGTCACTGAAGGCCCCTGCCCATCCCTGTGCTGGCAAGGTATTTGGGTATAGCCATCAATCCTACTGCCTTGATGGGAAGACTGGCCTAGTAAAAGACAATGTGAATGGTGTCATGCTTGCTTCATTCATTCATTCATTCATTCACTCAGCCAACAAGCAATTATTGATTATCTGCTTTCTGCCAGGCACTATTCTAGGTGTTTGGGAGGCAGAGAGACTGAGATCCCTGACCTCCAGGAGCCTCCGTTTTGACAGGGGAAATCCACTCTAAGCAGTGAACGTGGTAAAATAAGCAAAAGATTTAGAATGCTAGGAGGTAAAAGGGCCTATGGAACAAAGAACAAGGTAGAGCAAGGCAAGGGAATCGGGAAGGGTGGTGGGGGTGGACCCGCAGAGGGAGTGGGCTGGCATCCGAGCCTCTCTGTGCGAAGAGGTTCTGGATGAACAGACATCTTGTGCATGATCATGGGAGAGTGGATTTTTACAACCTCCATGAGGGTGTTTGGTGATGCCTATCAAAATTACAAATGCACGCCCGTCTGGACCCAGCGATTATACAAACTAATCCTACAGATAAACTCACACCCAGGCGAAATGATGGATGTACAAAAATGTTCACGAGAGCAGTGCTGGAATAGGGAAAAGACTAGAAACAACTCAATTGCCCATGAACTCAACTAGTTAAATATATCTGTTACATCCACACCGTGGAATACCAGAATTATGTTCTGATATAAAATACTTCCTGAGATGTGTTGCTAGGAGAAAAATGAGGTGCAAAACAGGGTGTATAGTATGTTGTCATTTATGTGAAAGAGACGACTATAAAATGTATATATGTGGACAGTCTCTGAAAGGATATAAAGGAAGCCGGTAGACTCAGTGGTTGCCTCTGGAGAGAAGCAATGGATGGCGGGGAGGTGGGGTGGGAAGGAGAATTTTCCCTCTGTTACTTTTTGTGCTTTGGAAATTTTGAATAATGTGAAGATAACCTAATAAAAAAAATTAAATTTTCAATTAAAATAAAATGGCCGGCTGCCATTGGGGCTTCACCCAGATCCCTTTACTAGCCTCTACAGCCAGCTCCCATCTGCTAGGACCACTGGCTGCAGATGGCACACAGTTGGCACAGTTCTCTGGGGAACTGTCCCTGGCCGGATGGGGGCCACCCTGCTCAGAAGGTTATGCCTCCCCTTGTCCCCTAAGGGCAGCCTGCAGCCAGTGACTGACTGAACTCCATGGGGCAATTCATGCCCCATGGCTCCTCATGGGACCAGGCTGCAGCGGGTCTCCAGCTGAGATCACATCTTTGCTTAGCTACTTCCGCTGCCCTGTCCTGCTTCCCTTCCTCCCTTACAGATTTTCCTAAAGAGCCCTGTTTAAAAATCACATGCATTTGAAAATCCTGGTCTCACACTCTGCATTTAGGGAACCTGATCCAAAACACCTGTCTCAAGGGAAGAACACTTACTGGAAATGAGCTGAGTGCTCTACGTGTTTTGGTACAATACCCCATGGAGATGGGACCACTGTCATTATCCTCATTCAACTGATGAGGAACCTCAGAAATTCAGACACCAGCTCAAGAATACACATCATGGAAAAAAGCCAGCGACCCCAAAGCCCACACTTCTCCCATAACACCTGCTTCCTACTGCCGGGAGATCTTCCTGTATCCAGACTGACAGCTTATCAGAACACAGGATTGTGTGTCTGTGCATGGTTTCTACCACAGCCCTCCCTGCCTGTCGCCAGAGGTGGCCCAAGGGGCAAATGTGAGGGGGCCAAGCTTCTTAGGATGGTAAGACCTGGAGGGCATGTCTGGGACAGGTGTCCTGATCCCAGGGCTCTGAAGATCTCAGCCTCCCTCCATTACGTGGAATTCTAGCTCTAGCTGATAGTCTGATGGCCTTTTGGCCAGGAGAGATCTTTGCATACTTCCAGGGTTGGGGAGCCCAGTATCTGCCAAGGACCATCTGCCACATCTATGGACAAGGCATAAAGGGCAGGAAGGTTTTCCTTTCCTTGCCCTGTGATTAATGGTGCTAATCCAAGCCCGCAGGGACCACAGGACAGGGGCTGCTCTTTTCACCCTAGAGGGAATCCTGCTGAAATTGGATTTGGGCATCTCGGGCTCGAGCTTTGCTTCTCCGGGCCCCACAGACCTTTCCTCTCAGTGCGTTCAGTCTCCTGACCTCCTCGAGCATCTCCTGGGTGCCCTTACTTGAAAACACCTTACTCAGACCCGCTTCTCTCTCTTTCTCTGTTCTAGTTTGATGGTGACAGTGCCTACGTGGGGATGAGTGACGGGAACCCAGAGCTGCTATCGACCAGCCAGGTGGGTGCTCCGTCCTCCCTGTGGGGGGTCCAGCCTGGAGCTGGCTGGAGCTGAGCTGCTTCAAGGTGGTGCTTGGGATGGTGCAGAGCAGTGGGGCAGGGCCCACTACTATCCTCTCTCACAAGGATCAAGAATATCAAATAGTCCCTTGAAAGTGACAATCCAACTGGGACCACAGTGTTTTCTGTAAAGCACCTACCTGGCTACAGTTGGCTGAAAATGGGCACCATTGAAAACTTGGTAAAACTGCAAATGTGTTGCCCACATTTCCCAGACGCAGAGGAGAAATTTTCAGCAGCAGTGAGTAGAGATGTCACAAGCTCTCTGGTACTCTCTGCCTCTTGCCACCACATAGCACCCATAGGATCTACACTGGCACAGAGGCATACATGCCCATGCAAAGGCATGCAGAGTTCTCCTGCCCATCTAGAGTTGTCTAGTACCCCTGCAGAGGATTGTGGATGTGGCATACAGGGAGGAGAGCAGAGGCTTCCTGTGCGGTCCTCCCTGAGAAGAAGACTGGATCATCCCTCTGGGCAAGGCTATCCCGGTCCTAGCCCTCTGGGAGTCCCTGGTGCCAGCTAGAGTCTGAATTTCCACTGAGAGCCTGGTCTCTGAAAGTTAAGTTTTCTTTCAGCTGGGAGCATCCTCACTGCAGATTGGAATGCTGGGGAGGGTTCTCACTGCAGCCTGGGTTGCTGGGGAGGGTCCTCACTGCAGGCTGGGATGCTGGGGATCCTCACTGCAGCCTGGGTTGCTGGGGAGGGTCCTCACTGCAGGCTGGGATGCTGGGGAGGGTCCTCACTGCAGGCTGGGATGCTGGGGAAGGTCCTCACTGCAGCCTGGGTTGCTGGGGAGGGTCCTCACTGCAGGCTGGGACGCTGGGGAGGGTCCTCACTGCAGGCTGGGACGCTGGGGAGGGTCCTCACTGCAGGCTGGGACGCTGGGGAGGGTCCTCACTGCAGGCTGTGGCAACCTGGAGGACGGTTCCTTAAGGCAGGGGTGCCTGCAGGGTGGCAGTAGCTCAAGGTGCAGAGGAACTTGGGGAGCTGGAAGACAAGCCCATCCCTGGAGCCGACCTCCATCCTCTGTCTGTGCAGTAATGATGGTTGTGGCAGTCCAGATTGGGTTGCTGGGCCCACATTTTCCAGCTCGGGAATCAGAACCCTATTAATTCACAAACACTTACGTGCCCTTCTATGTGACAAATCCAGTGGTGGACATAGATGAATAAGGCGTGGGCCTGTGGCCCCCTTAGGGCGCACTGCCAGGGAGGGCAGATCCTGTACTCTCAGTGCGGTGCGCAGGCTCCACTGCGGGGTACTGCACCCCCCTCCCCTGCTGCTGCAGGGGTGCTCGTGCTGGGGCCCTCACGCTGCCCATGCTCCTTTGCTGGCCTGTGACCATGTGAGCATCACGATGCTGCTGCAAACCTACCTTTCTATGGCACTGACTCGTGCCAGCCTGAAAGACACTCTGGTGGGCAAGACTCCAGGTCCTGGAAATGCTCATTTTGGAAGAGACCACTGAAGTCGTTAAACTGTCCTTAATCAGCTTGGACATGGGGTGTCTCACAAGACCAGAGCTTCCTCCCGAGCATCTCATCTGAGCTCTTTCAGTGTTTAAAGTGCATTTTGTTAACGTGCTGAGCCTGGCTCTCAGAACCATGGCAGGTGGAGTCGGCGTGGCTCAAACCCTGATGGAGAGTGTGGCCACCATACTCCAGGGAGAAGGGAGGGTGGGGCTTGTGGGGCTCCGTGTCTGCCCACAGTCCTTTGCAGAGAAGATGCAGGGCAAATAAGCATCCCCACAGGCTGTTGGCCGCAGCGCCCTCACCTGCCTACCCAGCACGTCCCCATAGTTGCAAAGCCTTTTCCTCAGTGGTTATTTCAGCTGATCTTCACCAGTCTTGAGAATTAGTAGGTTGCCACTAATCCCATTTTATAGATGAGGAAACTGAAGCTGGAGGATATTGAGTGGCTCATCCAGGCAGGGGGACAGCTGGGCCACACATTACTTTGCTCCGTTCCCACCTCAGGCCTGCCCCCGACTTGCTTCAGCCAAGTGTTCCTTTGTCGGAGAGCTGTTGGTGACCCCGAAATCCAAATTAGGTCCCCTCCCCTTGATTCTCTCTCGTGCCACCATGTCCTTTTAATTCATGGCATTTGTCACTGTTTGGGGTTGCCTGCTTATCTGTGTGAAGACTTGGTTAGCATCTGATTTCCACACTAGAGCAGGATCTGGTCCCTCATTCACTATTGTGTCTCCCAGTGTGTTACAAAGCCTGGCATGTGAAAGGCACTCAGGAAAGACTTGCGTAATGGGTCATGTGGCCCCTTCTCTTCTCTGGACTTCATTTTCCTGGCAGGGAAATGAGGCAGTTGGATTCCCCAAGGGTCCCTTCAAGTCTCTTGTGCTGTCACTCAGAGAGTCTCCCTAACTTAGCACTTTATAAAGAAAACATCAGGATTCCCTGAGATTGACCAGACACCCTGTGGCGTGAGCCAACCTGGATGGGAACAGATTTAGCAATTACAATCTAGACTTCTTAACAAGGTACCAGTTGATTTTTGTTGCATAAGAAGCATGTCAGGGGGCTCCTGGGTGGATCAGTCGGTTGGGCGCTAGACTCTTGATTTGGGCTTGGGTCATGATCTCAGGGTCATGAGTCGAGAGCCCTGCATCGGGCTTTGCACCCAGCACGGAGTCTGCTTGAGATTCTCTCTCTCCCTCTCCCTCTGCCCCAGTCATGCTCTCTCTGTCTAAAATAAATAAATAAATAAATAAATAAAATCTTAAAAAAATAAAAAACCCAAGCAAGTCAAAACTTAGTGTCTTAAAACAACAAGTATTTACATGGTTCAAAATTCCACGGGTTGGCGGTTTGGTTGGGTTCAGCTGGTTGGCTCTTCTGGCCATAGCTAAGACCTCTGTAAGTGGCCACTGTAACCTGCCAGGTCAGCTGTGGCCTGGTTGGTATGGGGACTCGCTTCTCTCCAGACAGTCTCTTGTCCCCCAATAGGCTAGCCTGAGGTTGTTCACATGGTGGGAAAAGGGCTCCCAGGACAGCAACAGCAGAAGTTGCAAGACCTGTTGAGGTAGGCTTAGAACTGGCACATGAGTACTTCCAGCACATTCTGTCACTCAAAGCAAGTCAGAGAGCCAGTCTGGATTCAAGGAATGGGGAAGTAGACCCTGTTGTTGGGAGGAGCTGCAAAGTATTGTGGTCTTTTAACAAACCCACGGGAATGTGGGATGTTGTTCATGCTGATTTTTGTTGAAGAATAACAGACGTGTCTGGGACATGCAGGCCCTAGTGGCTTGGTGGGGCTCCAGGATCCCTACTTCTTAATGTTTTCTTCCAGACTTTTCCCTGAAGTGCTTGCCTGAACCCCCTTCCCCGCCCCACTCTACAAACACATGCACATTAATGCCCTGTCATGATGTGCTGCCCCACCAACCACAGGGATTGTATTGTCCCAGTTCCTGGGGGGCTGACATAAACATCTGGGCAAAATGATGGTCTCCTTGCCAAAAGAGGATTCAGAGTACAAACACTCTATATGGTTTTTTTTTTTTTAAAGTAGGCTCCTTGCCTAGCGTGGAGCCCAATATGGGGCTTGAACTTAT